TTTTTTTTTTTTTTTTTTTTTTTTTTTTTTTTTTTTTTTTTTTTTTTTACGAGAATTTAGTATCGTTCATGCAGCTGCATAAAGGTACACTGTGACGAGGAAGTAAAAACGATCGTTCGGGTCTCGAGTTTACGCGAAATCGAATATACAAGGTGTCCTAGAACAAAGTGACCGTACACAGTGTTATTACGTTACACGCACAGCGTATAGAAATGGAATTAATACCGACTCCTAGAACGCGCTCGTACGTACGTCTTACGATTTACATAAGAATGTCGCCCGTATATATTCTTTCAACGAGGGGCAATGAAATTATAAAAACGAGGGTACAATTCGCTAACGAGATCGAGCAGATGTCGTTCCAGAAGCGTGTCTTGTCGGTCTAATATCTATAATGTATTCTCGCAGTCGCAGTTTCGTGTAACCAGCGTTGAAGCACTTTAGATCGTATTTTAACACGTTCATTGTCACGCATTTGTCATACTTTCCACGCGCTCGGGCCGCGATCAAATTTTCATTATCCTTACGATACAACGTATTATCAAGCAATATTTAAAATAACAAACAAAAACAGGAAAGGAGGAAAACATAGCATTTTTCATTTCGCAACGTTCTCTGTTTATTTACGCTGTTGAAATTTCCAAAAATTAGACAAACGTCAGTCATTAGCGATCACGAGGCAATAATAAACTAGATCAAAAGTAACTGAAAAATTCACGCGTGATTCTTTTTTATCCTAGCATAAAAAGCATCACCGAGCTGAGAAAATTGCCGTACCTTTATAACAGAAAACTCTCCGAGTGCAAAGGGTTAATCCGCTGATTCTCGCGATCGCGAAAAGTTAGAAGGCTTGCTCTATCCTCCGTGATCCCTCGAGGAAGCAATGATTCGTGATACAGGTCTCGATCCAAGTACGTCGTTACGCGAACCCATTACCAGAAAATATTCAATCGAAACGGTAGTTGCGAGTATTCTCTCGTAGGTTCGCCGAGCTTCCGGTTACATCGGCGACAGTTCCGTGCTGGAGTAATCTTCTTCGGGTGCGTGTTCCTCGACCTCGTTTACTATCCGGAAATTTCAAGTAGAACCGTCGCAAACGAGATCGCGCTCGAGGAGAAATAAATCCACGTCTCGTCGATGAATCGCGGAAAAGCCAAATTTTTCTGCGGCTGATTCGTCTTAGCCAGACTCAACGTAACGTACCCATGCCACGAATGCTGCCCACCCAGAGACAAGCTGAGCATATTAGAGCTTAGTAGAGTGCAGAAATCTACCGAATAGCAGTGTATATCGGTGTACCCCGTGCGACCAAGTAGCAGGGGGATCGACTATGGCGTGCACAGGGCGCCCTCTGCTTAGTCGGTAACGCACAGACACGTTCGTCGAGCTATAATTCTAACAATTCTGATAATTATCGGATATTTATCGGAATATACGCGTAATTCGATAATTATTCGTATAAGTTTACACTCGGCATATCAACGCTGAACCTACCACGAGGTTGACCGAAGGAAAGGGAAAGAAGAAGAACGGTAAACCAAGATGGAATAAGAAGAAACATTGGAAAATTGATTAGACTAGGCTAAAACACGAGTCACACGGTGAAGCGAGCAAAGCGATAATACGGAATACGGAATTTTAGCGTCAAACGAATAATTTCTCGGCCAGTCGTGTAGATGGCGCGAAATTAATTTTTAACGAGCATAGAACGAGCTGTTAATCCCTTGCACTCGACGACTTTTTTGGCTAGAGAAGAGTAGAAAATCAAAGATTCTCTGTTAAAAGCCTGACGATACCTTTTTGAGTAGTAAATCAAAAATTGTACAATAATAGAATTGCAGAATTATTTGACATCGATACTTCGCACGCTGTTACATTACATTAAATTCGATATATTAATTAATATCGATCTTCCAAATCTTATGAAATGCTGACTGAAGGTCATCTCTCGTGCGAAAAGGGTTAAATCGACTTGATACGAGGTAAAAACGAAAAAGAGGATAATTTAAACTTCTGTTTATTTTCATATACGGAAACTCTGCATAATACATGATAGTATATTTATACGTGGAAACTCTTATTACGCGTTATCGTGAAATTCGTGTCTTAGAGTTGGAATTTTATACATTTATGTATTTAATGGTAGAAATAATATCAAGAAATCTTATATTAATAATCGAGCATGGCCCATAGCATTTTGCCGTTTCCCAATCACCGTGTAACTATCTTTCCGTTTGCATTAGAATCGATACTACAGTACGCGACTATAATTTTCACTGCTTTTCGAGTAACTCCAAAGCGGAAAAGTACATCTGAGCAAAAAAAGAAAAAAAAAGAAAAGATCATTTAACTATAAATTAAATTTGATTCCACAGGGGAGGTTGATAAAGATTTTGGAAAAAATTGTCTTTATAATATTTTCGTAAAATCGCAAGAATCGATACGTTTTATTTATGCATTTCACAAATCTAAGACGATAAACAGTTTTTGTTTCCAGATTCGTATACATTGCACGAGAATACGAGAAACCTTGTCACTCTTAAAGGAACAAAATCTCGTCGATCTATTTCCATTGGTAGGTTGCTGCCATTTTTCGCATGAACGACTGAAATTTGTAGAAAGAAGTATCAACCGCGGTTAGTATTCTTCTGTATTATTAAGAACCATTATTAACTCTTTGCACTCGGCACAGTAATTCGAAGACTTTCTGCGATAAAGTCGATATTTTCAAAACGGTAAATATGAAATGCAAATTAACAATAAGACGTAGAATTATTTCACCTCGATATTCTACGCGTCGTTGGGCAATTTTAAATTCCAGACATGAATTAATAACGATCTTTAGAATCCGATTAAATGGCGACTGAGAGTCGCCTCTCGAGTGCAAAGGGTTAAGCACTGTGCGAGTACATATGTAATACACGTGTACGTGGAATTAGTTTCGAGAAAGATCGAAAACCACGGTACTTCGTAAAAGTCTAAGACTTTTAGAAGACTAGAAGAAGACTAAGTAGGAAAGGGGACCAGCGGACATCGCGTTTGGAATATTAAATTCCTCTGTACGACATGGTTAGATCGTGGCAAGAACGACGTTTAGCCCGAGTGTGTCTAACGGGAGACGCAGTCTGCAGAGATGGAAGCCTCGACGCGGATCTAATCGGCTTTATTATGGGCGCGGTAAAGAGTGCATGTTAACGCTGATTAATTACTCGTTGGCAGCTTGTTCAAACGAGCACACTCGCTGCTTTTTCGTTCTCCGTCGCGGAGAAGGTTTCTCTCTGCTCTTCGCCGCACACGCCCGCTTCGGCGCGCCCCTTTTCTTTCGCCATTTCTCCCTTTTCTTCCGTTCCTCTTCGTCGCACCGCTCCGCGCCATTCCGCTCCTCTGTGCTCCTCTGCGCTCCGCGCCGCGTTGTTAGACCGCGAATGAATTAAAATCACAATGGTACAATTTCTCTACGAACCTTCGCCCGCGAGCAGCGTATTTGCTCGGCGAGCAGCTGCGCGCCATCGCCAATCCAATATTTCCGCACACCCCTCGTGGCTGAATCGGAGAACTGTTCGGCAGCTTATTTTTAATCCCGTGATTTAACCGTTTACCTTTTAGTCGAATTTTCCTTCCTTATTAACCGCCATCGCGACGAGTCCGGCTTGGTGCGAGTCTCTCGTACCAAACCGTACGAGATTATAGTCCACCTTCGACACAGTGGTCAAACTGCAGGGGAGGAAGGGATAAAATTCACGCGAATTCGACGAATTTTTGTAATTTTATTTCGTACAATGTATAATGTTTGTCCGTTTAACTCTGTCCGTTTGACTACTGTGCGCGCCAAGAGACGCTGAAAAGTTTCTTTGCCTGTTAAATTTTAAGCATGTGCAGTAACAATTTACTATGA